GGAATGTCTGCCTCTGCTGCTCTGCCCCAGGAATGATCGCGGGCAGCCAAGGTACTGATCATCTGGTTCAGCTCGGGTGGAGTCTTAGTAAGAATATCCCCTCCTGGGCATAGAGACTCGATCACCCTCTGGCTGTCTGGGGTGAGGGCACTGTAGAAGTTCCCCACTGTGAAAGCATCACTGAAGCCATGATGGGGACACTGCCAGAAATATCCCATGTACCGCTCCCATGCATCACGAAGTGACTCATCTGGCTCTTGGCGGATGAGTGATCTCCCGCTGAATCTCTGTGGTCTTCGATGCCGGATAGTACCTGTGCACGAACTTGTCTGCCAGATCGTCCCAAGAAGTGATGGACAATGGGGGCTGGGTCTCCAACCACCTCTTAGCATTCCCCGCCAGAGAATGGGGGAAGAGGTGAAGGCGGATTGCGTCATCCGGACACCGTTCAGCTTGAACCCGTTCGTCAGCTGCAGAAAACGGGAAAGATGTGCCCGGGCCTCCTCATCCTTCAAGCCATGGAACTGGATAGAGGATGTAATGAGTTGAATCCAGCATGGCTTGATCTCGAAGTTGTTTGCTGGAATGGCGGATAGAGGATGACCGGGCGGATGTCAGCAATCCGTGGAGTGTAGTAGTACTCCAAGGTGGGACCCGGTGGTGGTGGATGATGATGGACCCCAGCTGCCGGGATTGGGGTCGTTCCCCAGGAACTGGTTCTCCGGAGGTGGGTTGTGATCGCCTTCCATCTCGTACTCGTCCTCGGACTCGCTGCTCAATTGGCCGTCTCTGCGCTCTTCCGTAGCCAGTCTAGCTCGCTGTTGTCTCCTAAGTTGGGGCTGGTGCGTTCAATCTCTGGATCCAACGCAGTAAACCTCCCGACTGGCTACGGGTCATGCACTATCTGCACACAATCAAGCAATGCAAACCCGTGAAGGCACAAGTGGGAAAGAAGAAACACTCAATGCGAAAATGAAAATGCTAAAGTAACAGAAATCACTTTTCTTCAACAACCTAGCCGTCCCCGGCAACGGCGCCAAAAACTTGACTCACTCCTACTGTCACTCTAGAAAATGGCCAAGTGTAACCACTTCCTAAAGCGTAGTATAGCGGGTTTGGGTTTTATTGTCAACCCGGGTCCTAGATGTGATGACTACTCGGTGAATTCTCGTTATCTAGCAGTGAACTTTTAGTGCAGATTCAAACAAACAAAACACAAAGCAAGTAACGGTTGTTGTCAAGTCAAGAGAGGTCACCCGGATATGGTTCCCCCTAGACTGCAGTTAAGCGGATTGCAATTTACCAAGTTCAGTTTTATGAAAGTTATACTGCGGAAGGTTCTTAATAGCCTGAAGTCTCGACTAAAGGTCTCGACCCTCTCAATCTGAGTCTCTAGCGGGCGACTAACCTCCACCGGAGTAAACAGATTGAGGCCCTAACGAACCAAACCTCCACTACCGAATGGAATTCGGTACAGAATAGCGAATTGGCTCCTCGACTAAAGTCACCAATTCGCTACTTCATTAAGGTACTCTATCAACCTAGGCAGATATTCTCATTCTAGGTCAAAGCAGAAACAACAGGAATTTGATCAGGATTCAAGTCATTCAATCATTCAAACCTCAATCGAATATAATCAATTCACAAACTCTGTACTTGGGTTCATACAATCAGACCTAGCATACAAATCTAGGGTTCCCCATACCCAGATGAATGGGGGAACTACTCCATAGAGAAAGAAGCAAAAGCAGATTCAGACGCGGAAATCATACTGTGAAGACGGATTTCTGCTCCTGGACGTTTAATCGGCACTTCTCCAAGCTCAAGCCGGGCTCCAATGGTGATGAAGATCAAGCTATGGCACTTGGGAACTCTGGTTCGTCGCTTTCTCTCTCAAAAACTCGGAACCCTTGAAGTTGGCCTTCTTTTCCTTTTATCAGCTGCCAGATCGCGATACCCGGTCGAAATACCCGGTCGGGTATTTCGGGTCTCGACCGGGTATATGCAAAACGCGTCGTTTCATCCAGGGAAAATCCCCGGTCTGACTCTATAATCCCCGACCGGGGATTTTAGCCAATTGCCCGGGCCCCCTTCTGTTTCTCACGGGGCGCCCAAAGGAATAATACTCGGCCGGGGTTCTTGGTCATGGCCGGGTATTTTCATCCATCAGCCTCCTTCGTCCCAACTTCGCTCCTTTCGACCCAGAACTCGTTTCTCCGCCTCGATTCCAACACCGGGTCCTGAAATATGACATAAACACACAACCTAGCGTGAAATCGGCTTAAAACACGAGATTCCACATCACTAACGGCTTCAGAATAGGGGTGAAAACATGTGTAATTATCGGTCTATCAGGCGGGTAATACTTCTGAACTTTATGAGTGGCTCATTGATTCCGGTTGCAACGAGCATATAGTACGGGACTCAAACTGGTTGAATACAATAGATACAACAGGTCCTCACTCTTCTGTTCCGATCCGAATGGAGCTAGTATTCCTGTTCAGGGAGTTGGTTCATTATATTTGAATGATCGTCTCAAACTTGATCGAGTTCTTCATGTGCCTACGTTCAAATGCAACTTACTTTCTGTTAGTCGGCTGACTAAAGACCATGACGTGGCTTTACTCTTTTTGGCTGATTTCTGTATTATCCAAGACTTACGTTCCAGGACTATCATTGGACTGGGCCAGCTCCGTGATGGCCTCTATTATCTTCGGCGCGTTGGGGACTTCAATTTCTCGGGGCGCCGCATTCCTCCAGTTTGTGCAGCTGTTGGAGGGAATTCTCTGGATCTATGGCATGCCCGGCTGGGGCATCCTTCTGTTGAGAAATTGTCTTCTTTGCGAGATAGTTTGAAGATTTCGGATTTTGATCGGAACCATCGTCATTGTGACTCTTGTTTACGTGCTAAACAGACAAGAACACCTTTTACTTCACAGTCTATTAAAACTCGTGGCTGTTTCGAGTTAATACATGTGGATATTTGGGGTGGTTATCACACCCCTTCTATGGATGGTTCTCGTTATTTTTGACCGTGGTGGATGATTATAGTCGAGCCACGTGGATTTATTTGCTTAAATTTAAGTCTGACGTCGAGCGGTACCTTCGACAGTTCTGTCAGATGATACATACTCAATTCAATTCTCAGGTTCAGCGAATCAAGCCGACAATGGGTTGGAATTCCAGACCAGCAGCCTGCGCGATTACTATGAGGCTCATGGAATTTTGTTACAAACCAATGTGTTGACACACCCCAGCAGAATGGAGTTGTTGAACGAAACATCGTCACCCCCTAGAGACTGCTCGAGCTCTGCGCTTTCACTCGGGGCTTTCCAGTCAAGTTTTGGGGTGAATGTGTGGTCACAACCAGTTATTTAATTAATCGGTTGCCTTCTCGTGTTCTCGGCAACAAGTCACCATATGAGGTGCTCCTTGGTCGTCCACCCTCATATGCCCATTTTCACAGTTTTGGGTGCCTGGTATATGCAAAAGACACACGTCATGGACTCGACAAGTTCGTCGAGAGGGGAGACCTTGTGTTTTTGTCGGATATCCGGCATCCCAAAAGGGTTTCGGATTTATAATCTCAATTCTCGACATATAGTCATCCAGAGATTTTCATTTGTTGAAAATTTTTTCCCTTTTCAGGAACAAGGGATGAAGTCGGTCTCGACGATGCTTATTGAAGATGTAGAGATTGAGGACGTCAACCCGGTTGTGCATGCAGATCATGACCAGGAGGACGAGTTTGATACTTCACATGATCACCATTCTTTTGATGAGACTCAGGTTCATGATAATCATGAAAATAATATTCCTCAGCAAAGTGATGAGAGTGGTGCAGGGAACGCGGGAGCAGAGGAAGCACCTCAAGCCAAAAATCCACCTTTGAGGCGTGGAACCAGAGTGCGACGTCCCCCACCTAAATTGGTGGACATTTATGATGCTGAACTTGTTAGAAAGCCACATGAGGAGGCAACGGTGACGTATCCCATGGCCAATCATGCGAGTTATGAGAATTTCTCGCCACAACATCGAGCATATCTTGCTGCCATCACCAAAATCGAAGAGCCTAAGACCTTCGAAGAAGCTGTTAAACATGCGTGCTGGAGAGAAGCTATGCTTCGAGAGTTGCGAGCCCTAGAGGCCAATGGAACATGGACGTTGGAGTCACTTCCGCAAGGAATGAAGGTCATAGGAGCAAATGGGTATTCAAAGTGAAATACAGACCTGATGGCACAGTAGAATGGTACAAAGCACGATTGGTTGCAAAGGGATTCACACAATTGGAAGGGGTAGACTTCCATAACTCGTTTGCCCTAGTAGCCAAAGTAGTCACCGTGCGAGTCCTATTGGCCGTTGCTATCAAGCGTGGATGGGATTTACATCAACTTGATGTAAACAATGCTTTCTTGCACGACGATCTTGAAGAAGAAGTGTACATGCAGGTTCTGCAAGGCTTTGCTAAGCCAGGAGACAATCGGGTCTGCAGATTGAGAAAGTCCATCTATGGACTAAAGCAAGCCTCATGAAACTGGTACCAGAAAGTTCACCCATTCACTTTCAGAGCTCGGTTTAAAGCCCTCCCGAGCAGATCACTCGTTATTGATTTACAAACGAGGGGAAGTGTTTGTGGCAGCGCTTATATACGTAGATGATGTGATTCTCACCGGGAACAGTGCGACATTCATCAACGAGGTAAAGAATTTCCTTGATAAGCGGTTCAATATCAAGGATTTGGAAGCATTGAAGTATTTTCTGGGGATAGAAGTAGCGAGAGTTGCAGATGGGGTAGTGCTTAGTCAGCGGAAATACACTTTGGATATCCTTAGTGATGCTGGAGTGACTGGAGCACGTCCTAGCAGCTTCCTATGGAGCAGAATCGTGGACTCACACGTCCATCTGAAGACATTGCCAATGACGTTAGTGGATACAGGCGCCTAGTGGGACGTCTCCTGTACTTAACGGTAACACGTCCAGATATTTCTTATTCAGTTAACATGTTGTCTCAGTTTGTTCACTGTCCAGGTCCAGAACATGTTGCTGCTGCAGTCCGTGTTTTGAGATATCTGAAGAGGTCACCGGGTCAAGGACTATTCTTTCCTATGTCAGGAGACTTGGAGCTAGTGCATACTGTGACGCAGATTGGGCGGGATGCCAGACGACCAGACGCTCGACCACCGGCTATATATACAACTCGTGGGCGCCCGTGTCGTGGAGAACAAAGAAGAAGGTTGTCTCGAGATCTTCAGCTGAAGCAGAGTATCGAGCCATGGCGAGTACTGTCAGCGAAGTTCTTTGGTTGAGGTTCCTTCTCAAGGAGCTGGGCGTGTCGCAAGAAAAGCCCACGACACTATATTGTGATAATCAGGCTGCATTACACATTGCAGCCAACCCCGTTTTCCATGAGAGAACGAAGCATGTCGAGATGGACTGCTATTTTGTTCGATAACGTGTTATGTACAAGGAGATTGAGCCGAAGAAGATTGGCACAATGGCGCAGCAAGCTGACATATTCACGAAGGCATTGGGTGCCGAACAGTTTCACACGTTATTATCCAAGCTGGGTGTTCGCGACCTTCACGCTCCAACTTGAGAGGGAGTGTAGAGACGTGTGGATGTATATGTATTATTATTACTTAGAAGGACCTTTTAGTAGTTTGCCGCCCTAAACCTAATAGCTCATGTCGAGTATATTAGGAAGGGATTTCGGCTGGTATAACTAAGCAAAGAGACAGCAGCTAATACAGTCATGAGAACTCACATTCTCTGTGGAGTAGTCTCGTTCATATTGAACGGGGAAACCACGTATATCGGGTGTCCTGTGTCGATTCTCTATCGTTCCTAGATTTTACATGTTTGCTAGATGTATGGTAGGGGTATGCTCTGTTATGAACTCACGATGCTATGATTATCACTAAGCTATGAGCTGACCCTCTTTTATTCTTTTCCTCTGCTTATGCTATGTGTAAGCAGATCATCAACAGTAGCAAGTACTTAGGTGTGGGCAGAGCGAGGAGTTGAAGGCAGGATGAGGTATTGTCTTCAACTATTTTGTTTTGGACTACTACTCGTGATTTTGGCCAGTAATCCACACCTTTTGTAAAAATGTTTTGAGAACGTTTTTCATGTGCATACTAGCTTCTGATGTAGTGTGAGATATCCACAGGTGTGGAAAGTTGATGATATGTGTATATGTTGTGTAACTGTGTAAGTTGTGACGATTATGGTATGTATAAGTATGGTATGCAATTGTGGAGTATGGAAGTGTGGCTATGGCTAAGAAAAGCCAATGCATATGGTTGTGAGTATATATGTTTGTGATGAATTATTTTGCAGGATAAGTTGCAAGAACTGTTAGCCCATTACGCGAGTAATTCATGTCGAAATTTTATTTGGGTAAATTTTGATAATTAATGTAACACCCGAGATTAATTCCGCTGCAATTGTATGAACAATATGATTAGGCAAAACGTATAGAGTAGGGTGTTACACCGATTTTCTTTTTTTTTCTTTGATTTTGGTTTTGGTCGACGGCGAGACCGTGGTGGCGACAACCTTGTTTCAAAATGAAAGGTAATATTTCTAAATTTTATGTTTAATCTATTTTTTATTTAGTAATAAAAGGATACTTGATCTAATTCAAAAACTTATTCTTCTTTCTCGCAGGTTTGGAAGAGAAACCGGCTGGGTGAGATTTCCTAAACCCAATTTATTTAGCATAAATTAAGAAGGTTGAATTCACTAAAGATAATACTATCCTGGGTTTTTTGGTTTGTTTGCAGATATGAACTTTAGAGAAACATATATTTTCTGAGTTTTCAATTTTTATTAAACCAAACAACGGTTAAACAAAATCTATCTAAAATCAAAATGACTAAAAAGGCTTAATCCTTTAAGCAAAGCAGCCGCTGCTTGCGACTTACTAATCTAAAGAGGTAGTTTTTACTAATTGTATTATAATAGCTGCTTGCGATGTACTAAATCTAGAAAGTAGTTTTTACTAATTGTATTATGATAATTGGGCTTTGGATGTGGCTCTTGATATATTAGGAGTTGCTAATTGTGATTTTTCTGTAATTTTGACGTAATTAAAGTGCTCTAAAATGCTAATTTAACTATTAGAAGTCACTACTCACCACTACCTCATTGCTTGACATTCCTCCACAGTGTGATGGGAGCTTTCAAACCACTGACAGTGCATCGCCTGCTGCTATTCTGTACCTGAAATCATTCCAGAGCGATCAATGGCTGAAACCAGTTTCGATACCACCTGCACCAAATCGGACGACTGGGTGGCTACAACATGCACACCCCGCCCTAGTGATCGTCTCGATCTCCTCGTAGTTCCCCAATCATATCCCTGCTCTGCCATCTCTTCAAAAAGTTTATTCAACTGTGGCGGTGTCTTGGTGAGCATATTCCGCCGCAAACCGAGTGAATCAGCTTCTTGTCTTCCAGGAAGAGGGCATGGTAGAAGGTGCCCACCTTGAAGGCGTCGGTAAAAACCATGTTGGGACACTTGAGGAAGAGACTGGTGTATCTCTCCCAAGCATCCTGAATGGTCTCATCTTCATCCTGAGTAAAGTGGGTATTTGCTTTTGCAGGTCCACCGTCTTTGACGGAGGATGGTAGCGGGTGAGGAACTTGTCTGCCAGGTTGGCGAACGTGGTGATCGAGCTTGGAGGTCGAGTGTCCAGCCACTCCTTGGCTTGCCCCTCCAGAGTAAATGGAAAGTACCTCAGCTGGATGGCATCGGCTGGAACCCCATTGATCTTGATCCCATCGATGAGCTGGTGGAATCGCCTCAGGTGTGATCGGGGGCACTCCCCCTCCTTGCCACAGAATACCACTGAACCGCGCAACATGGTGATGACAAGGTGCTCACCTCAAAGTTATATGCTGGAACATGAGGGTGCTGAATGGGCGACCTCATGTCCGCGGCTCTGGCGGTCCAGTAATACCCCATGGTTTGCTCCTCGGGAATGACCACATCATGGTCCTGTGGGTCGCCCATTTCTTCCTCCTCGGCGATTTGTAGTTGTGCTAGAGCTTCCTCCACAGCGAGTCGCGCCTTTAACGCCCGCTTGAAGTTCCTACAAGTCTGTTCAAGCATTGGTGTAATGGTAGTAAATCTCCCGACTGGCTATCGGTCGTGCACTACCTGCACACAGAATGCAAACACAACCTGTGAAGGCACAAAGGTGGAAGAGAGAGAATGTAGTAAAGAAAAGCTAGAGTAACAAACTTTCACGTTTCCACAATAACCTAGAAGTCCCCGACAACGGCGCCAAAAACTTGACCGCTAAAAACAACACCAAATTGCGCCCAAGTGTAATCGCAGCCTGGAAATGCAGTAAGTGGCAAGCTCTATTTGTCAACCCGGGCCTAGATCTACTGCCTACTCCGTGACTATTTTATTATCTAGCAAACTAAGTCGAGTGATTGTGTTTTTAACTAAAAGCAGTAAGAAAGCATGAAATGGTTTTCTAAAGCAAGGGAAGAGTCACTCGGGAATGAGTCCCCCTGGATCCTTAGTTAGTTCACAGTTTAATTACTTTTGGTTGCTTTACTGTTGATTATACGGCGGAAGATCCAATAGTAGCTTGGAATCTCTTAAGCTGACTAAGCCCTCTCAGTCAAACTACCCCGAGACGACTAGTCTTCACCGGAATAGAAAGTTGAGGCTATGAACACAGAACTCCACTACTGGAACTTAATTCCAGTACAAAGTAGTGAATCGACTAACTCTCGTATAATCGATTCACTACTACCGATTGAAGAAGCTCTAACAACCTAATCAGATTCTATCTATCTCAGGTTGCAGCAGAAATCAATAAAGATGATCAGGCTTCAATTGACTCAATCAACACACTTCAATCATATATATAATCGAACAATATCACAATCCAAACGTTGTTACAACAATGATCCCTAACACTAGAACTAGGGTTCTTCATACCCAAGTGAGAGAGGGTTCTACTCCATAGAGAGAGAGAGAGAGAGAGAGGAAAACAGCAAACAAAGCAGTCATACTCATCAAGATGGGAAGGATCTGCTCTGGATGATGATCTTCACTCCAAGGATGATTTCCAAGCTTGATTGATGAAACCCAGCTCCAAACCACTCTTAGGGGTGTTCTTTGCACTTTCTCTCTCCAGGGCTCTGTTTTTGCTTCAGAAAATTGATTCCCTCTCCTTTGGCTGTGGATTGGGTCCAATACACGGCCAGTGTGGCTTGGCCGCGTAATGGGGTTCCACACGGCCACACCACACGGCCGTGTGGCTGCTAGGTCTGACCGTGTGGATTCCTCAGCTCCTCGTCAGACGTCCAACTTTCGTCCAATCGACCCGAAACTCGCTCCCGAACCTCCAATCTCGTAGTAAGACCTGAAATAAGAAAAACGAGAACAACCTAGCATGAAATCGGTCTAAGATACGAGAAATGAGGCTCAACGGCATAAGAATGATGGATAAAAACATGTGTATATATCAAGTCATCAATGTACTAAAAAAAAGGAATCTGAAAGAATGGCAGGGATTTAGAGTATCATAGAAATTGATGAAATGAGAAAAACAAACAAATGCTCGATTGAAATGAGCTTAATCCGAATAGTAAAGTGCTTTAGCGAAACGCATAGCAGTAATTTAAATGATTGTAAGTAATAAGCTTTAAGGAAATGACTTAAATGATTGTAAGCAATAAGCTTTAAGGAAATGGCTTAAATGACTGTAAGCAATAAACTTTAAGGTAATAACTTAAATGAGTAGAAATCTACTAAATAGGAATAGAAAGTGGATTCGACAATAAATTCTTGAAAAGTGCTACCATTCAATATAAGGAAGTTTTGGGTTGACAAGCACCAACCTGATAGCCAACTTTGGATCTGAATCCTTGTTCTTCATCTATTACAAAATTGAACTGGAAATTTTCACTGGAGTAAAGGAAAGGTATTTATCTATCACTATTGCTCTAGCGTCTCCCTTGTCTTCCTTCTCCCAAAAAAAAAATCCCACAACAAAGAGCTCACTTATAGCCAAATGAACGTGCCACGTGTCAACTCTCGATTGGCCCATTCAGAGGTTTTCTCTGCAAATTGCTGCCATTCCTTCTTGAAATGTGAAATCGCTGTAGATAAGGCGGCCAAGACAGATTTTGGCTGAAGTGGGCCAAACCCACCAATTTCAGTGGGATCGAATTGAACTGGATCTGCAGACATGTTTTTGGGCTGGAGTGGACTTCAATTTGGGCCGAGCTCTGGGCTTGAACCGGTTTTCCATTTGGTTCTTTTGCAGGTCTTTGGCTG